GAGGCAGCGGGCGTCACACCGTGACACCCGACGGGCGGACGGGTCGATTCGTGTCGGCGATGGCGCCGGCCGTGGCGGCAGCCGGAACAGGGCTGCGGCGGTGGGCGGTGGCGGCCGTGATGGGAGGCGCGGGTGCGGGTTGGCGAGTGCGACTGCCTGGGCGACGCCAAGCTTTTCGGTCATCAGAGCCGAGTCGGCCATGCGGAAGTTGCCGCCCGAGACGCCGAGCAGCTGCGGCAGCGCCTTCATGTCAACCTTTGCGTCGTGCCGGACGGAGAGGAGGAAGAGACCCGCCTTCTTGTCGCGCACGACGAGGTTCTTGACAAAGACGCCCGGGCACTTGCCCTCGATTGCCTGCAGCCCGGCCTCGACCTGAACGCGGGCGGCAGGCCACCGCCTCAGGCTTTGTGCGGAGGGTGCGGAGGAGAAATACATGGTGTGTCGTATCGCGATGCAGGAGCGCGACAGCGCATGACGCGCACCGTCATCGCCGCGTCGTGCTCCACCATGGCGCTCGGCTTGATGCCGAGCTTCTCGAGCGCGCTCGTCACGGCCTCCACGCTCGTCATCCTGGCCTTGCTATCGCGCCCTCACTGTCTCTGTCCGCGTTCAGCGTCGAAGAAAATACTTGCCTCGATTGCGCTTCTTAGTGCGGCCACGTGGGGAAGATGACTCAGAGGAGAACGAACCAGTGGAAATTCAGTTGTCAGATGTCACGATGCATCCGAAGGGGACCCCAGCGCCGGCATCATCCGTAGAGGCACGAGTGTTCGAAGAGAGAGTGGACCTGAGCAACAACATGACGTGTAGGCAAATGATCGGAGTGGGAGTCAGAAATGTGGTCCTTGCGCGAGGGGAGCTTGATAGACTCGAGGGGCCAGGATACGCCGCGAGGAGGACGGAGTTGCGCAAGGCGAAAGAAGCCGCGAGAACAAGGGACCGGCAGGCGGCGGCGTCGCAGGACGAGGCAGAAGAGAACGACGCGACAGAGGAGGAAGTGACAAGGGAGAGACCGACGAGAGTGGGACGGCCGCGAGGTGGCATGAAGGTTGCAGCGAGAATCGGCGAGAGACTGCGAAAAGAGATAGGAAGAGGCAGACTCCCCAGGGTGGGCGACGGCTAGCGCACCACACTCCTCTCCTTAAAATCCCTGTGTGGTGGCGGCGTGCCGTTCTCCCATCCCTCCCTTGGGTTG